TCCATGCATTAACACAACCACAAAATAGGGTGGAAGAGGGTTAAAATTCTAAAATGTAATTTCGGTAGTAGGAGAGAGAGGTTGATTACTGAATCCTGGTTCGTTGGGTCTACACCCAACACATGCAACAGAAATGACTCCATACAAATACCAGAAATATGGAAGATATTATTACCACCAGTCAAATCAGATGAGCATTATAAATAATCTCAAAATTCTATTTCAATTCACGTACATCATAACATTCTAACAAGTGTCCTATTTTGACTATAAAAACATCTTGTTTTTTATCTGATTGTATTTGATTAATAACACTCGTATTATTATTTCTGAATGTACATTATCTTACATTAATTTTTATTCAAATATCAGATATGCGATTGCTGAGCTTTTTCGTAAACTTACACTGCATGCATTAACACACAACCACACAATAGGATGGGAGAGGGTTAAAATTCTAAAATGTAATCTTTGTTCATCGACTCTTCATCCAGCACATGCAACAAGAATGACTCATCACTCATACCGGATATAAGGAGAATACTACTACCAATCAAATCAGGCGATGAAAAATAATGGATTTATATAAACAAAATTAGAAAGTTGTATGATTACCTTGATATGATTATGAGCAATAAATTGTGCTCGGAACTTCGTTAGTAAACATCACTGTATAACACTGTGAGACTTTATCAAAAACAATTTTACCCATAATGGAATTATACTCGACCACACTGCACAAGTTTTATTCTTATATCAAACAAATAGATACTCTGCACCAACGTTAACTGTTTTGAGGCCTATGTTGATGCTAATGTGTAATTGTGTTGCGTTCGATGCTGTCAAAATCTGTCTGCTGAATATCTGGACATCTGCAGCAGATACACCCGTTGTTGACTTGCTTTTAATCTTTTCAGGCTATGGTCACATGTTAGATTTTCTCGTACTCTTCATAAATTGTCGTCAAACTTATCCTTTTGAAAAACTAAAATTATCGACATTTGGTACACATTTTGGTCTAGTTGTGTTCTCTAATCTAGGCGATTTCTCAATTATATCTTCTAGATCAGAGTAAGCAACAATATCAGATTTATCCACCTAGGCTACAAAATCCTCTCTTATTCCGTACAAATGTCTACTCGCCCTCCAGTCTGTTTAACTTAGCACTGTGTCAACATATTCAAAGAATCTTGGGTATTTATTACCTGAACCTATTATCTTATTTCATTGTTCACCGTTTAGATTGTAAATGTTCGCTGTCCATCTCATTTATATTTCGAGTATGTATCAAATTGATTTTATCACACGGCAGCTGGGAGTTTAGTTGATGGTTGTCTGTTTTTAAATTGGATGAGTTTTGATTTATTTCTTCTGTAATAAGTCTAAATTCTATATACTGAATAGAGCCAAAGCGTTGTTTCTTATTATTTTTGTTCAGTGTGTATCACTGTCATCATCCAGTCTCTATGCTAGTTTTCCTTAAAGTTGCCCTTGATATATGCTCAATTCGTTCACATTTTCACTTTCATTAACATGATCCATCAACTACAATTATTTATATATTATTGAAACAACTCTCTTTGCAAAGTGATTTAAAAACAGTATAATGACAGAATGAGAAAATCACATTCTCTGTAGCCTTCCGCTCTTGTAGTTTCTCTAACTAGCTGCCAATAGCTCGCTATTGAGCATTCGGTCTCCATGGTCGATGTTAACCTAATTCAATAATATCCTTCATCATTCAGCACCATAAGTTGACCCGTTAATCGTTTTGCTTCTTCCAACTGATCTCTGAGCTAGCCACCACGCAGTCAGTTGTATAAAAGCGGTTATGATTACGTTAATAACAAATATCCAAACTCGTTTTGTTGGTGCTGTCAGCTGATACAAGTTATTATTAGGATAAGTAGTCTTCATATTTTGACTATCTTCATCAAACAAGGATTTCTACGAAGACATCAGTGTTTAAATATGTTTAAGGTCTAATGGACTACTCTGAATTTGTAACAATGTCAGCTATATTGATGACGATCATAATCTCCTTAGGCATCATAAAAGTTGTTCAATTTTAGTGTTTTTTCATTTGCTGTAGTTTTCCTATTGTATTTTTGGTGTCGCTGTTTACAAGGATAATAACCATGATGATCAGCAGCATCATCGTAGTAAAGATAATATATAGTGTTCGTGTGTAGAATAAAGGTTATGTGATGATAGCAAATAAATATGAGAATGGAATTTTTAATTTAGGCATAAATGTTGAAGACTGATGAAGATAATTTTCATTCCCTTGTTTTTCTTACCACTTCCTATCGATGTAGCAGTAGATGCGTCTACTGACGACAAAAAATTATGTTTATGCATGATTTTACGTTGGATTTACAACGAGTTTGGTCTGAAGTCTGAACGCTAGTCTAATGATTACGATGAACACTTTTTTGTCACTTCAAATGCGCGTATATGTAATTAAGTAGTTCGCGATAATGTTTTTAATCAGCACACCTTTATTTTTAATATAGGTATAGCAAATAAATAAATAAAGTCAGAATAATTTACCTAATGTCGAGAAAAATTTGTTAAATACAAACTGAATATTGGAAACGAAAGTAGTCATGGAGTGAAAACAAATTCGACAAAAATAGACAAATTTATCTAATATGATTTTCTATAAACTGTTTACGTATATACAACGTAAATGTTGTCTGTAATTTTCCAGTGATTTAACTACAAACCCAAGAAATTCATTCAGTGGTTTGGGGTAAATAGTCTTGTTCTTTAAAAATCTTAAATGAAGTTACTGAAAACTGTAAACTAGGGGTATCTTTCTCCGCTTTCATCCTCGTTAGCCAGAATAGTTTCTGAGGTTAAAGGATAACGGCTGCTGAGCTAATTTTCTCTTAATTCCTTGCTTGCTTTAATGTACACTTAAACATTCTGATATAGTTACCCTATGTTTCACTCCTTTACACCTGGACAGGGCACTATCTTAATAACCACAGCTTCTCTTCTGTTTGGTACAGAAGAGACTTAGGGAAGCGCTTCTTTATTAGGATTCAACGAATATACACAGCGGATACATTGAATATTAGGAATGAAAACTGACAGAGACTCCACTTGATAATAATTATCCAGAGAAGTTTGAAGGAGATATAAAGTGGTCTAAACAATAAAACCCATTTTCCAACTCATCGCTAAGAAGAAAGTATATATCAAGCTACCTTACATGGGTAACCATATTAGCTCTGTAATTAAACAAAGATGGAAGTCTGAAGTTAAAAAGATCCTTAACTAAGATCCGAATTATTGAAAATTCGAAACCTCTATATCCGTCTAAGCCTTTAGAACATACAAAAAATGATGTCAAATCTCACTATATATACCAATTGAAATGTATTTGTAATGATGCATACAGAGGAAGGACTAATCGATTGTAGGTAAGGCCTTCAGAAACAAATTAAATCCCCTGTACCCGTTAATGGTCAAAACACACCACCTATCTTTTCTATTGAGAAACATTTTTTCGAAACAGGATATAAAATTGATGTTAACACCTCTTTTGAACCTCTCCATAAAACATGTGTAGGGCGTATCCTGAAGTTTGTGGAAGCCTTAGCGATTAGGTATTATAAACCACCTATATGTATTCGAAAGCATTTGGTCATCACACTGAACCTTACTTAGTAAACTTTTTTGTGATACCAGGGCAGATGTACTATTATTGGTTTCCATTGTTATTTTGACCTTTGGTGTGGGCTTTTAACTTGACCTATATCTATTCTCACTCCTTATTATTATTATTGCTCCCTTGGGTTCCTAGTGGAACATAGGGCTTCAACTGCACGTCTCCACTTGCTTATGTCTTTTGCTGTACTTTTCACCTGCATCCATGTTAGTCCATACTCTCTCAACTCCTCTTCACACGATCTCCTCCATGTCACACTTGCACTGACGTCCCACTCGCCGCTTACCTTTCGGCCTGGTTCCATTCGAGCAATGGCCTGACGCGCACGCGATGTCATCCAGCGGCCTCCACAGTAAGTGTCCAATCCATCTCTACTTTCTCCTGCATATTTGTTGGTTGGCGATTGGTTGGAGACTGTTTTGTTTGTTCCCATAGTTTCTTGTTGGTGATGCTTTCCGGCCCGCCCGCCCGGCCATCTGATCTTCAGTATAGAGCCAGCGAAGACAGTTAGTGGTTGATAAAGGTCTGCAACAGGCCGTTGGAAATATTCTTTGTGACCCGCCCGCCAAGTTTCTGATCCGTATAGAAGAACTGGCTGACTTGACGTTTGTATTGAAAATCCGACCGAATTTTGTTGTTGATGTTGGCTGAGTGACGAAGATTTCCAGATTGGTTTCAGGTTGATGAATGTGTTTCTCTCCTTCCTGATTCTCGATTTGACATCCTCGTCCGTTCCGACTGCCTGTAGTTGAGACAATGCTCCCTCCCTAGTTAAGTGAATGAAGTAACCTCTTTCAAATCCTTCCCGTTGATGGTGATTGACGCTTGATGTTGATGTTGTTGTTGTTGTTGGTTGGTTATTTTCCATCAACTCCGTCTTGTCTATGTTGACTTGGAGTCCTGTCTTCACTGGCTGCTTCTCCGACCAGTTTGTCGGTTTTCGCTTGTAAGTCTTCGATTTTGTGTGACATCAAACATAAATCATCCACGCACGAAATTCAGGTCTTCTAGGTTCTTCATGTCGGTCCAGGATATCCCTGTCTTCTCGTTTCCCACGGTCTGACGCATAATCCATTCAGTCCACCACAATTAGGAATATCATCATTTTTTCAAATTATTATTATTTTTATTATTATTTTCAAATATATATTTCTATGACAAGTAAGTGTGTGGTAAGATTGCTTCAGAATGTGTTGCGAAAATATATTACACGGTTTAGATAAATTGTCTTATTGTTTTGCCAAAATTCATAAAGGGAAATAACTGTTTTAAATAAACTCGACCTTTTGCTGTCTTTCTATCTATTTTTAACTCTGTCTAGTTAATGAAAATCAACCTGTAATTACCTCATTTTATCGTATACGTATGAAATGCGGGCAGTATTGTTGGGTTCGTACTCTAATCTCTTGTTTGATACAACCACGCTGTCATCAATCAAAATCTCTTGTATCCACAACTACTGGACACTACGGTCATCGAACGGTTTCTGATAAAAATTTGAACACTTGCAGTAAATGTTATCAATCATGTGATGGATATTGTTTGAATACGTCTATAAACAATGCCTCAAGTTACTCAGCATTTGGTGCGGTGGAGAATTCATCAGTGATCAGTGCAAATTCAATTTCTGTTAGTTCAATGAATTCCGTTAGTGTTGAACATCCGAATAGTTTTAATTTAAACAACAAATACAACTCATCGGATACACTAGTCTGTTATCACCAGTTCGCCCAGTAAGTTTATTGCATTCATTGTTTGTTTTATAAATTGTAGTTAATTATGCTATCTATTCACTTAATAATGGTTGCATGTTATTGACCCGTAGTTTTTATTTGTCATATATTTCAAAACTATAAAAAAGAAGCAATATCATAAGCATGAAAAAGAAGTAAACAGATGCATCATTCTAGTTGATATACTGATAGAAACTGTATTATATTTTAAAATCCGTCCCTATGTATAACGTTATAATTCGAATGTCATTTCATTTTTTTTCTAATTATACCTATAACTGTGAAGTGGTCACATTTATGGTTTACTGCATTAGATTGTCCAGGTTATGAGGTAAAAAAAAAGATACAATCCACATATTCGATCGATACTTTTCTACCATGCGGTTATATCATGAGCCGTTTGTTAACCGGGCATAAGATGCCCTTGCCTCTTCTTCCATCAGAAAACTTTCTGGGCTATTTATTCGACCAGTTTGGAATTTATATTTTCTTTTTTGTTCTCCTTATTTTTCACTAATTCACTTCCTTTCCAAGAATTCATTTTCATGGTGTGCAGTAGTGCCAAGACAACATAAAGAGGAGGGTGTGGTTAGTCTCACTAAAGTTGCAAAGTCAGTATACCATGCTCTTCTTTGATTGAAATAGAAGAGATCAATTTCTTAAAATATTCAAAGAACTTTAATAATAAAAGAGTGAAAAAAAGGGAAACGGATAACTTTGATGTGTAATTCACACCGGCTGTGAAGATTCCAGAAATATATACTGAAGGCATTTACATTTATAGTGTGTGTGTGTATTATATTCCTAGACATTCTGGTTGCTAAACGCCCACAGTTACATGCCAAACTTCGAAGGACATTGAGCAGTCTCCGTCCGCATTTCAAGGTAAAGAAGATCCTAATTAATAGGGTAAATGTCAGACAACATAGCAACCGTAATCCTTCGGGAAACATGACGATTTCTTTCGTTTACTGATGATTTAAATAGAATCAGAATAAGCGAAATTTAGTTCCACTTTAAACGTCGCGGTAGATAAAGTATATGCTTACTATTATTATTATTGTATTATTGTATCCTTTAATTCCTAGAGAAACATAGGGCTTCAGCTGCGCACCTCCATTGCCTTCTGTTTTCTGCCAACTTTTTCACCCCGCTCCAAGTCTGCCCACATGCTTTCATCTCCTCTTCACATGACCTCCTCCAAGTCACCCTCACACTGACGACCAACTCGCCGCCCGCTTCCCTTTCGGCCTGGTTCCACTCGAGCAATGGCTTGTCTAGTGATGTCACTCACTTGATGGTTTCCTCAGTGTATGGCCAATCCATCTCCATTTCTTCCTGCCTATTTGTTTCACAGTCGGTTCCCGGTTGGTTTGCTCCCCGAGATCTTTGTTGCTGATGTTTTCTGGCCATCTGATCTTGAGTATTGGGTGAAGACAACGGTTAATGAAGGTCTGTAATTTGTTTGAGATGCTCTTTATGACACGCTGGCCAAGTCTCTGATCCGTATAGTAGCACTGACTGACTTCACATTGGAGTTGACAATCCGGATGTTATTTTTGATTCTGAGTACTGTTGACCTCCACACAGACTTAAGATTAATTATGAAAGCTTGTCTTGCTTTTCGGATTCTGGCTTTGATATCCTCGTCAGTTCCTCCCGCCTGTAGTTGAAACGATGCTTCCCAGGTAGGTAGGTAAAGGAGGTTGTTTGTTTCAGGTTCCTCCCATTTATGCTGGCTGATTGTTGTTGTTGCTGTTGGTGTTGGCCAGGAATCTTCATCACCTCTGTTTTATCTATGTTCCCTTGAAGTTCTATCTTTGATGCTTCTTCTGCCAACTTGTTGCTTTTCACTTGCATATCTTCTAGTTTTTGGGAAATCAGATATATATCATCGGCGAAGTCCAGATCCTCCAAGTTCTCTTTTTGTGTGGGTCCATTTTATGCCTGTTTCCTCATTGTCCGTTGTTTGTCGCATTATCCAATCTACTGCAGTCATCTAAATCTTAATTATTGTAGTACGTCTTAATCCCCTAAACTTCTTTTCTATTGGTTCTTTAATTTAATGCTCTGGGGTTGCTTGTATTTTGTGATTGTCAGTATCGTCATTATTTATTTTTGTTGTTAATTATCATCCTTCCATGACATGATAAACTGAGACACAATCATCTTCAATCGTATTTCATCATTTCAAAATACCCTCAGAATATTGGCAACAAATATTAAGAATCATGTAAAATAAACGATTAACAAGTTTTTAAGCTTGTAACGATAACATTTTTGAAAATAGAAAAGACACTTCAATATTCTGTAAAATACTGCTTTTTGGTATTGTGAAGAAATCCATCACGGAAACTTATCCTTTTATGTTGTCTTCTTAAATGAATAATTAGTATTCAAAAAATATTTATTTGACGTTTTTGAAAGGCGCAGATTTATATTCCTACATTTATGTACATCTGCACACAGTGTAGGTTTGTTGATGTGATACATCATGTGAATGACTATCGTTACCACACAGTCATATGACTGCTTGTCAACAGTAATGTTTTGCTCTGCGTAATCCTAAATTTAGCCGAGAAAAATAGTATTTTTTTCTTATCGGGACCAATTACTAATAATGCGAAATAGCCATCTACTTCTCCCTGCTTTTTACTGGTATTTTATGTCAGTTTTGCAATGGAAACTTCTTAACCAACTACTATTGTCATTTTTCCATTGGGAGTATTGTCATTGACTTCTGGATGTTTTCTAAGTGTGTTTAAACTTCGTTTACAATGATGTTCAGTTGTTACTTTTTGACTAAAACACCAAGCTTCTAACCACTGGGTCACCGGTTCGAACCCCACTCCACCTGCAGAAGTATCACTAGCCATCATACAATACATGTGGCTTATGACTAACTGCATGCACATACTGTCTGTCTGCCTGTTTTCGACATAGAACTTTGCACAAATGTGCGGAAGTTCAAGTCGCCACACTCCGTGTAGCACGCGAAGCAAGAGAAGAAAGTACAAGAAAAGCATAACAGAAACAGTAAGCAGAGGTGTGAGACAGAGGAGGAGTAATAACGAAGAACCATATAGTTTCATTGGAGATCATAAGTCACAAGGAGTGGATGCATCTTCGCTTTGCATTGAGAACGATCACTTTGAGCCATGTCACCAATTGTTTCCAACCATAGATTTTTACCGTCCTGAAGACCCCAGCCTGGAAGTCTACACCTTCCTACGTGGCTTAGACCAACTGTTGTGGATTTCATTGACTGGTGCCAACTTTTTGTTTGACCGCCGCTAGCTTTTTTCCAGTCTGACCCTATATCCGCTAACATTGCTCGTCGAGGGAGGCGATGGTTTGGCATACGTAACACATGTCCTAACCATCTCAGTCTTTGTAGCTTCACGACTGACGGTCAACGTGCTCTACCACTTCACTTCCTATTTTTAAACTAGGCGTCGATGTAGTCCAGTCCTGTAACATCATCTTGCATTTGGCGGGAGCGAATCGCATGCCAAACATTCGTAGATTGCGGCTCAAGGTGTTTAGAAGACTCTGCATTTCGTCAGCGTCTTCGCCTAGAAGGACTATATCGTCTGCATATTCCAAGTCAACGAGATTATTCCCGGTAGCAAGTCAATCCCTGAGTCGCTGAAGTCACCTAGGGTTAAGTCCATTAACACATCTATGATGAAGTTGAATAGAAAAGGAGATAATGGGCATCCTTGACGGACACCACTGGTCGTCATCAGTTCAGATGACAGCTCGCCGTAAGCCCTCACCTGGCTGTATGAGTACGAGTAGAGTGCCTTAATCAGTGCAATATATTTTCTCGGAATTCCCTTTACAGCCAAGCATCTCCAGAGAACTTCCCGATCGACAGAGTCGAATGCTGCCTTTAGGTCAAGAAATATAATGACTGTTGGACGCCGGTAGGAATGCCTATGTTCTAGAATCTGTCGGAGGGTGAAGATATGATCAATACACCCTCTTCCTGGTCTAAAGCCTGCCTGGCTCTCTCGTGTTTGTGCTTCCCGAGCACCACTCAGTCTACGCATGATTATTGAGCCTAAGACTTTAGATACTATATTAGTCAAGCTAATCCCTCTGTGATTATCACAGGAAGACTTGTCTCCCTTCTTGTATATGGGGATAATCAGTGACTTACACCAATCCGCTGCCTAGTACCTCAGTTAATCCGGACAGTAAGCTGTCTCCACCGTACTTAAATACCTCTGGAGTCATTCCATCAGGTCCCGCTGCTTTGCCTAGTTTCAGATTGGTGACAGCTTTAGTAACCTCAGTTAGTGACGGAGGACCTGTGTCTATATCCCATTCAGGGAGGTGTTGGATGCTCGGAAGGTTGAGCGTGGCTGTGGGCAAATTAAACTGCTCCTCATAATGCTCTTTCCAACGATCCAGTCGTCTATCCTGGAGCTAATTATAGTGCCATTTTTTTCCGAGATTGTCTCACTAATGATTTGTCTTCTCCCACCCGTTTCCCTGATGAGTCCAAAGAGTTGCCTGGTGTTGCCTATCCTCGAAGCTTTCTCCATCTCTTTGGCTTTTGTCGCCCACCACTGTTCACGGTCCTTGCGGAGACTTTTCGTAAGTTTCCTCTTGTGCAGCTTTCGCTCCTCATTGAATTCGGAGCTCGCCGGAATAAGTCTTCTAGCATCTATCAGTTCGGATGAGGCGGTGGAGATCCAGTGGTTTTTACTCACCTTTGGGTTTACCTTATTCACAGCTTTTACAGCTGTATCTATGGCTGCCTGGATATTTTTCCAAGCTTCTTCAGGGTGAGCACAGCTGTCGAACACAGATATGTGTTTAGCTAGTTCTTCCTCAAATACGGATTTAGTTTCCTGATCGAGCTGGGGACGTGATGGTTTTACCGCCAGCTGTTTCCTACGTCCGTTCAGTCGTAAGCACACACGAGCGCGGACCAGTGCATGGTCGGTATCTACGCACGTGTTCCAGAAGGAGCGACAATCTCCTACCGA